TTCAGAATAGGTCATTTTAATTTGAGTCACATGCCACCTTACATCCCTTTGTTGCGCCTACAAGAGGGTAGAAAGCAATATCTTTTATCCGGAGTGACAGGATATGCTACAGTTTGGTATCTGCGCGTTTGGAATATGATTCTAAATATTAATCTGCCAGTTGCTAGGATGCTACCTGTACCTATTGAAGGTTATTGACAGTAGTATGAACTTGTAAGGGATTTGGTCCTAACCTTGGTCACCGCCTAACACCCATCCCCAAATGAGGTGATTGGCTATTTGTTCTCAGGAGACACCCCTTAGATAATAGAATAAGACAGACAGCCTGGAGAAAAGTGAGGTCTCCCTTTTAACATCAGGAACCATCTTTGGGAGAAAGGCAACCTTTTGTTCGGACGATTGGACTCTGCTCAAACCAAGTACTTTTGCAAGTAGTATGCCTTCGGAAACTTCTTTCTTTTATTTCTCTGTTGTTTTATTAATCTCTTTATATATATATATATATATATATTTGTTACATCTTTTTCTGTAAATATTTTAATTGCACCATTTTGACCTTTCTAGTAATAAATCCTATTTTCTGAAAAGTGTTGAAACTTTCTCTAAAGCTCTCTGAAGAGTGCTATTGTATGTGATAATCCTCTGAATACATCTGTCTGTGGTGACAGTGTGTTACAGACGCTTATACTAGTATCATAGTGTTACTACTAAGATTTGTGAGTTTCCTCCTTCTCTGTAAAAAGGTGGTGGTGGCAGTGTGAAGGGTTAATTGTGTAATTAACCTGACCCAGTAACAATCGCTCTCAGGCTGCTGGCACATAGATTGTGGTCCCGCAAGCTGGAAAATCTTTATGCAGGTCGCAGCTGACAGTGGCATTGTTACGCAAGTGACAGCGTGGTTTGAGATCGGCTGGTCCTTCGGAAACAAGTTGGTGAGAAGGGCTAGGGTCTGACACCGCGCACCATCACAACCTTTCTTGCAGGTCCCACTGAGAGACAAAAAACAAAAACTTGCCTCTAACATAATGGCTGGATTATACTGGATTATACTGTCATGTACCTGACTGGAGGCTGCAATAGAGAGAGGGCTTCCCTCTCAGTGCACCCCTGGAGGTGGAAACATGAGGTGCAGTGCCCAATAGCACAGGTTACCAGTGGTGTTGCTACTTGGAGATGCTTGATGAGATGGAACCCGTGGGTGCTCCGGTTGCAGAAGGAGTTTCTCCAGAGAACACGTGGATCCGGGAGGATGGGTAGAGTAGTCAGTAGCCAGAGCCAGGTTCAATATGAAACAGCAGACAGGAGCAATGTCAGGATCAAGCTAGGGTCATACACTGAACAGGACAGGAGCAAGATCAGGATCAAGCTGGGGTCATACACAGAGCAGCAGACAGAAGCAAGGTCAGGAGCAAGCCGGGGTCATAGACAGAGCAGCAGACAGGAGCAAGGTCAGGATCAAGCCGGGGTCATAAACAGACCAGCAGACAGGGACAAGGTCAGGATCAAGCCGGGGTCATAAACAGACCAGCAGACAGGGACAAGGTCAGGATCAAGCCGGGTCGGTAATTGGGTAATTAGCAGGAAACTCGGGAACACAGGAACAGGAGGGGTTGACGATAATCCAGCAATCACTGAGCAGAGCTGCAGTGCTTATAAAGGCCACTGAGTGTCAGCAATTAGTGCACCCTGCGTGTGCCAGTGCGTTTTCGCGTACAGGAATGCACGATTACATGCCGCCCGCCTATGTGCACTTCTTTGCACAAATTGACACGGCTATATTGAGCATTGGCACATCTACCCGGGCTTCCTCGTCTTTTCCTCTGACACCTAGTTTACAGCTTCCTGGGCTGCTACCTCAGTTATAACAATCTTCTTGACCATTTATAGTCTAGTTTTTGCCCACAACACTCCAAGGAAACTGTTCTTCTAAAACTTACTAACAGCTTACTAACTGCTAAAACCTATGGCTACTACTCAGTACTCCTAGTACACACACACAGGAATAAATCATACCTAGCAAAAAGGGACTTTAGAGGCTTCGAGATGGAGACTGCGACAAGCCAAGTCACTGCAACTGCAAAACAAATATACGGTTGCTCAAAAGTTTGCGTACCCTGGCAGAAATGGTGACATTTTGGCATTGATATTGAAAATATGACTGATCATGCCAAAAAACTGTCTTTATTATGGGATAGTGATCATATGAAGCCATTTATTATCACATAGTTGTTTGACTTTTTTATAAATCATAAAAACAGAAATCACCCAAATGGCCCTGATCAAAAGTTTACATACCCTGGAATGTTTGACCTTGGTACTGACACCCACAGGTAAAATGCCAATTAAATATTAATTTCACACATCTGTGTCTTCTTAAATTGCAATTAGTGTCTATTTATAATTAGTCAATGAGTTTGTTAGCACTCATGTACATTCATTGAGCAGTCTAGATACTGAGCCATGGAGAGCAGAAAAGAACTGTCAAAAGACCTGTGTAACAAGGTAATGAAACTTTATAAAGATGGAAAAGGATATAAAAATATATTGAAAACCTTAAAAATGCCAGTCAGTACTGTTCAATCATTTATTAAGAAATGGAAAATTCAGGGATCTCTTGATACCAATCCAGGGTCAGGTAGACCAAGAAAGATTGCAACAATACTTGGACCACGCTCGCACTAAACTGTAGTGCAGCCGACTCATAATAATATAGAGTTGTTAAACTCGGGTGCATGGCGGAATGCACAAACAAATGTGAGCATCTTGGCTGATGGTTTTTTATTTTGTTGTATGAATTAGTTGATTTAATAAAAAGGTTTTACACTATCAGAGTCTCTCCTCTGATTTTATGATAATCCTGATGACACTGTGAGAAAGAAGAGGTGCAGCCCTGGAAGTTTTAAAACCCTTGGGGGATAAAGTGCCTATAGACCTACTCTAATGCAGGGGTCATGGTCATTTAGTGAGTTCTTTAGTATGGTGGTGACATGGTGGTGGAGTGAAGCACAGAAGAATCACTATTTTTGAAGAATTGTTATGGTGCAATTTATATGCTTGTTGTTCACAGTTTGCAGGAAGCACTATTTACAGTGAAAAAAATATATATATGACAGAAGACGCCTGAAAGTTGCATTTGAATGAGCACATAATCTATAGCACTTTAATGGACATTCATATTGTGTTGTGGATAATGCACTTCATTTATTTTTATACAGTATATGATTTATAATTTTAGTTTTAGGAATGCTGTATGTTGAGAGTACGATATTCTAAGTGCAGATTGTGTTGCATACAGCTTCTGGCATTTTGAGCACTTAGCGCTGGTGTTAATGGTTTAAACAAGAAAGATTGCAGCCACAACTGCCAGAAGAATTGTTCAGGATACAAAGAAAAACCCACAGGTATCCTCAGGAGAAATACAGGCTGCTCTGTAAAAAGACGATGTGTTTGTTTTTAAGGAGAACAATACGAAAATACTTTAACAAAATGTAGCTGCATGGTTTAGTTGCCAGAAAGAAGCCTTTACTGCGCCAATGCCACAGAACAGCCTGGTGAGGCATGTCAAAGTGTTTTCAGGCATATTGTAGCTGGACTTTTTCATGGTATTGTAATGTTTAGGGCTAACCAATCCTAACTTAATAGAACAAAAGACAGAAAAATATCTTGCCTTAACAAAATAAACAGTATTTGAAGATTGGAATTCAAAGCCACGTGCTCCTGGGACCCTACACCACCAATATCAACCACATTCCTGCCATCCACAAAAACCCCATGCAACCACCCTTTCCACATCCACACACACACCACATCAAACAGTATGACAACCAAACCAACCCCCACACAAACGTCTACCACAACCCAATCAAGACCACTCAAACCCAAATGTACACCTCCCACCTCCTGCACCACCCCAATACTAGAACGGACCCCTACACACATCCCACACATGGCAACACCCTCACACAACTCTAAAAGCATCCCATACAAAAATACATCAAAGCATCCACCTTTAAACACACTTATCCACAACCACACAACATCCACCCCACTCGGATCCTCCAAAATAACTAACTGATACCAAATTCAATCAATCAGCATCACCACAAACCAACCAGAGACTACACATCACATGACCCAATTGACTAACCTGTCTCACCAGCATATAGACAACCCCATAATTACTCAAGTATCCAGAATGAGTGATTATGGGGTGGTCTATATGCACGAGTAATGTCATCCATGCCCGGCCAATGACAGTGGTGATCAAGAACTTGAAGCCGGTCACCCAAAGATGTTGATGGCTGGGCGGGGAGCAGGGGGCCACAGCATCGCTGGGGCCAAGACAAATAAGACAAAACTGTGGTAAAATAGAAGATTAAAAGGAGGAAGTTGAAAAGTTTTTTAGTACAGTTCATGAAAAATGTTATAACCTGGAGTTATTGGAGATGGAAGCAAAACAAGTTGAAAGCTTACAAACAGAATGATTGCCTTTAGACAGCATTGAAAGTACTGTATAATGAGCAATCTGTGTATGAGAGAAGAAGCAGGAGAAAGGACCTTAGGAAAAGGGGGTGAGGTCTGCTTTATTTTTTTTAAATATTGTGTCACCCCCTAAATAAACACCATGGCAATTTTAACACCCACATGGTGCACATATGTGTCCATGGACAGCCAAGGTTTCTGTGCCTAGTGAGTGTTCACTGCATGCTCCCAGCACATGACGTAATCTGAAGTAGAATGTAAACATAAATATTACATTTCTATCCCCTAGAGGAAAAAATACATTTAGTACTGTGTCCCATGTTTCTTAGTGCTTTCTAAACTACAAATAGGACCATTTGGGGTGAAATATATCAGGGGCTGTGGCCTAGGGTCAGGGATGTTGCTGAAGCCAGCTACACTGACTAAACTTAGCAGCTTGACTTTTATGGAGAGTGGTTATGCCTTTATTTTTTTTTAACTTAGTTTACTGAAAAAAAATTGCACATACATACAGGCGCAGACTGACAACTCATGGGGCCCCTGGGGAATAGGGGATCATGGGCCCCTGTGTCCTTGCCAAAACTCAAAAAAGCCTATGAAAAAGGTACCAGGGGCATCTCATGGGGCCCCCGACTGACCCCCCGGGCAGTGCCCGAGTTTCCAAATGGTCAGTCTGCCCCTGCATACATATTATACTTGTCAAGCCAATACAGTGGCAAAGTACTATGCAGCAAATAGTGTATACAAAGGGAATTGTCACACCTCTGGAGTATCAAAGCCTGTAAATTCCACAAAGTCTGCAGCAACAAATAGGTACATCCATGTTCTGTATGTGCACAATCAGAAAATGCTCTCTAACCTTAGTTAAAGTGGAGTTCCACTCACTCTGTAAAAAAATAAAAGTCAGCAGCTACAGAAACTGTAGCTTCTGAAATTTAAAAAACAGCCACACACCTGTTCCACGATCCCGCGTTGCCCCCGCTGCAGCCCGTTTCACCGGCCGTCCTGTATTCCAGGCGCTGGCATCTTCAGTGTGGGCACCTGGCTGTGACAGCTTTCGGCTTCACAGCCGGGTGCCCAATGTGCATGCACGAGTAGCGCTGCGCTTCCTGAATGTCCCCGTCGTCTTCTGGTCACGTGTCCCACAAGACTTCAGGGAGAGAGGGTAGGAGGACAACTTCCGTTTCCAATCGCTTAGGCGATCACAGCGGGAAGTGGGAGCGGGTACCTGTCAAATTCAGGTACTCGTTCCCCCCCACTCCCCAAAGGTGCCAATCCTTAATGGGGAGCGGGGGACCAATCTTTAAAGCGGAAATTTTCCCCTTTTGGGTGGAACTACGCTTTCATAATACTGAGCTGCCCCTTTCCCTTCCTGCAGTGGCTGATTCGACAACACTTTTTAAGATGACGGCTGAATCATAGCTACAGTTTGACAAGCAGCAAGACAAGCAACAGCAAGAGGAATGCAGAGAAAGGGGGGATGTGTCAGCCTGGCAATGGCACAAGGTACCAGGCAAACCATTATCTCTATCCCCTCATCGTTCTGGGAAGGACATCCTCAGCATATACAGCTTTCATGCCATGTATAGCTATCTCCGATCTACTACCAGTAGATAACTGCAAATATATACAAACATTTGTACAGATCCAGAGATACCAATACTATTAAAATGTTGTTATATTCACATATAAAATGTGTGTATTGTATAATCCAAACCAGTGTATCGGGTGTTTTTTTATTCCCAAACCGTTTTCTCCTGGACACGATTTTTGTGCATTTGGAGTTTTGCACCTAAATGCTCATGCCTGTAAATGCCTATAAAAACCTGCATGCATATGGACACATAGGCTAATAAAGAGGGTTGTTTAGAAGCAAAAAATGTAAAACGCCTGTAAAATGGGCATTTTTTAGCTCTAGCATGCTTGAGGCATTATTACAGTTGCAAGAAAAAGTATGTGAACCCCTTGGGATTACGTGGAGTTTTGCATGAATTGGGCATAAAATGTGCTCTGAACGTCATCTAAGTCACAACAATAGAAGAACACAGTCTGCTGAACATAATACTACACAAACATTAGATGTTCCCATGGTTTAATTGCACATAACATGTAAACATTCACAGTGCAGGGAGGAAAAAGTATGTGAGTCCCTAGCTTAATGACTTCTCCCAGAGCTAATTGGAGCCAGGAGTGAGCCAACCTTGACTCCAATCAGTGTGATGATATTGGATGTGTTGCTGACAGCTGTCCTGCCCTTAAAAAACACACACCTGTTTTGGGTTTACTGGTTTCAAGAAGCACTGTCTGATGTGAACCATGCCTCGCAGAAAAGAGCTCTCAGAAGACCTACGATCAAGAATTGTTGACTTGCATGAAGCTGGAAAGGGTTACAAAAGTATCTCCAAAAGCCTTGATGTTCATGTGTCCACGGTAAGACAGACTGTCTACAAATGGAGAAAGTTTAGCACTGTTGCTACTCTCCCTAGGCATGGTTGTCCTGTAAAAATGACTGCAAGAGCACAGCGCAGAATGCTGCATGAGGTAAAGAAGAATACCAGAGTGTCAGCTAAAGACCTACAGAAATCTCTGGCACATGCTAACATTTTTGTTGACACATCTACAATAAGGAAAACATTAAACAAGAATGGAGTACATGGGAGGACACCACGGAGGAAGCCATTGCTGTCCAAAAAGAAGATTGCAGCACGTTTGAAGTTTGCAAAAGAGCACCTGGATGTTCCACAGCACTACTGGCAAAATATTCTGTGGACAGATGAAACCAAGATTGAGTTGTTTGGGAAGAACACACAACACTATGTGAGGAGAAAAAAAGGCACAGCACACCAACATCAAAACCTCATCCCCACTGTAAAACATGGCGGAGGGAGCATCATGGTTTGGGGCTGCTTTGCTGCCTCAGGGCCTGGACGGATTGTTGTCATTGATGGGAAAATGAATTCCAGAGTTTATCAAGACATTTTGCAGGAAAACGTACGACCATCTGTCCGCCAACTGAAGCTCCGCAGAGGATGGGTGATGCAACAGGACAATGACCCAAAGCATACAAGTAATTCTTCAAAACAATGGCTGCCACAGCACAGAATACGCCTTCTGGAGTGGCCCAGTCAGAGTCCTGACCTCAACCCGATTGAAATGCTGTGGCATGACCTTAAGAGAGCGATTCACACCAGACATCCTAAGAATATTTCTACACTGAAACAATTTTGTGAAGAGGAGTGGTCCAAAATTACTCCAGATCGTTGTGCAGGTCTGATCTGCAACTACAGGAAACGTTTGGTTGAGGTTATTCCTGCCAAAGGAGGGTCAATCAGTTATTAAATCAAAGGTTCACATACTTTTTCCTCCCTGCACTGTGAATGTTTACATGTTATGTGCAATTAAACCATGGCAACATCTAATGTTTGTGTAGTATTATGTTCAGCAGACTGTGTTCTTCTATTGTTGTGACTTAGATGACGTTCAGAGCACATTTTATGCCCAATTCATGCAAAACTCCACGTAATCCCAAGGGGTTCACATACTTTTTCTTGCAACTGTAAATATGACTAATTTCAGAGCTGGAGTCTGTAGTCGGGTGCAGTTGGTTCTGTGATCTTCTGCCCCGCTTCTCCTCCCACTGGTCTTCTGTATAAATGGATGTCTGACTGCAGAACAGGTTGCTCTTTGCGCCTGCTCCCTCTTCTCTCTCCTGGCTGTGCTGTAGGATCTGTGTGAAATCCCCCTTGATCCTTCCTCCCCCTCCTTCCTGGCAGAGAGCTTGAGCCAATCAGGGAGCAGGAGAGTTTGAGCCAACTGGAGTGTGAAAAAGAGGACTTACTATGTTGCAGTGTATTCTGGGAGTGTAATTCTTAAAGGGGCACTTCACCATACTTGCTAATGGAAGCTAACAGGATGTGGACTTCAGTTCCCACAAATCTTTGCACCCCTAGGAGGAGAAGTTTCACTGTTTTCCCAGGCAAATTGTTCCAAACTGAGACAGTCCATGGAAAAAAGTGAAGGGTACAGACATGCCACCAGGGTTTGCGCCTCACATTTGAGGGATTGGAGCCATTAAAGAGGAGTTTAAGAGGACCTATTCCTCTGTGCATCAGGGAGAGGGGATGGATCTTCACCTGAGCTTACTAGGTATGCTTTCAGAGACTGCTTGAGAGAGAGAGAGAGAGTCTCTGCATCTTCAGGATCCAAGCTGAGTAACTGTGGCCTGTGCGAGGATCAGGGACCTGATCATGGGAACCTCTGATTGGGACGTGATTAGCCACCTGCCAGGAAGTGATGAGCTGAACCATGCTTCCAAAACCCTCACCACTGTTAGTCCAAATAAATACTGTCCTACTTACCAACCTATCTTCTATCATCTAACCACACTCTTTAAGATACAACGCACCACCTAAAGAAGGACCCCACTGAAAACCAGCAAACATTAATTATTAGGCACCAGATATTTTTACCACAACCAGGGGTACCACCATACTAGGAACACATACAAACACCCACTGTTGGGGTTGTATGCACAAGGTGCACACCAGGACTCTTTTTATTCTTCTGAATTGGATGAGGTTGTTTAGAGACTCTAGTTACCCTGTTGTAATTTAGTCTTGCTGTACCTTTGAGTTCTATACCGTTTTATCCTTCATAGCTCCCTTAAGACTGTGTAATTGCATGTTTATTGATTTATCCTTTGTTTTTTTGCTTTGCCTTAATACATTCAATTATCCCCAAGCTGTTTGTGGCCTTATTCCTGTGCGTTCTTAGAGTGGTAGCCTACTATCCCTTAGGTTCATAGGTGTGCATGGCTTTAGTGTATGACTAACTGTGTCAGTGAGGACCAAGCAGTTAAGAGAGTTGTGACAGAACAGAGGACCCATCATCTTCAGCAGCTCCTGTGGAGGTAAGAACTACAAGTCTAACCATCATTATACACCTACAGGACTGTTTGCAAACATCTCAAAAAAGAAAAAATGTATGGCAGAAGATGATGTAACTTGACCTAAAGCTTTGTGTATATTTCTGGTACACACAGTACCAGTGGTACAGCCAGGGGCAGACAGACAACTCATGGGGCCCCCGGGCAATAGGGGATCATGGGGCCCCTGTGTCCTTGCCTAAACTCAAAAAAACCTAAGAAAAAGGTACCAGGGGCATCTCATGGGGCCCCCTACTGACTCAGGGCCCTCGGGCAGTGCCCGAGTTTCCAAATAGTCAGTCCGCCCCTGGGTACAGCTGAAAAGAAGATGTTTTTTCCAGAAACTACTGCTGTACACAATTTTCTGTTGCTACAGTTGAAAGAAGGCTAATTTATTTTTTTCTTTTCCAATTTTACAGTATTACTGCTGGCTGGAGATTACAATGAGAATGCAATATTTAATAAACCAAGTTCCCTTAATATAACAAAATGATCTGACATCAATAATATCAGTAGTTGTCAGAATTTTAATGTTGGGTGGTGGTTCAATTTTGTGTCACTTTGTAACATAAACTGCAATGCATTTTGATGTGTCCCAAGAAATACATGAAACACCTAATGTCACGTACCTGACCGGAGGCTGTAATAGAGAGAGAGCTCCCCTTACGACTAAGTGCAGTGCGCCCCTGGAGGTGGAAACATGAGGTGCAGTGCTTAAAGAAGCACGGGTTGCCAGTGGTGTAGCTGCTTGGAAATGCCTGATGAGATGGAACCTGTGGGTGCTCTAGTTGCAGGAGGAGTATCTCCAGAGGACACGTGGATCCCGGAGGATGGGTAGAGTAGTCAGTAGCCAGAGCCAGGATCAATATGGAACAGCAGACAAAAGCAACGTCAGGATCAAGCTAGGGTCATACACAGAGTAGCAGCAGACAGGAGCAAGGTCAGGAGCAAGCTGGGATCATACACAGAGCAGCAGACAGGAACAAGGTCAGGATCAAGCCGGGTCGGTAATGGGTAATCAGCAGTAAACTCAGGAACACAGGAAAGGAAGGGGCTGATGATAATCCAGCAATCACTGAGCAGAGCTGCAGTCCTTATAAAGGCTACTGAGTGTCAGCAATTAGTGCACCCTGTGTGTGCTGGTGCGTTTTCTTGCACAGGAATGCATGATTACGTGTCTCCCGCCTATGCACATGCTCACTTCTTTGCGCAAATTGGCATGGCCATATTGCACATTGGCGCATTTGCTCGGGCTTCCTCGTATTTTCCTCTGACAGTGCCCTCCCCCAAGAGGCAGCCTCCGGATGCCCAGGCGGGCCTCGTTTTTCAGGGAATCTGTTAAAAAATTCTTGAAGCAGCTTAGGAGCATGCACATTTCTTGCTGGTTCCCAGGAACTATCCTCCGGTAGATACCCTTTCCATTTAACCAGATATTGAATCTCTCTCCCCCTTTTCCATCCATCCAAGATGGTTTCAACTTCTAACTCAATGTCTTCCCCTACCGTGACTGGCGGTGGGGGTGGTTCCTCTCTTCCAGGGATAGGGCACATTACGGCTGGTTTGAGTAGAGAAACATGGAAGACCGGGTGAATCTTATAAGAGTCGGGTAAGTCCAGTTCGAAGGCTACAGGGTTAATCTCCCTTTTGATTTTAAAGGGTCCAATGAACCTGGGACCTAGTTTTCGTGAAGGGCAAGCAAGTTTGAGATTGATTGTAGCAAGCCACACTTTGTCTCCCACTTTCCACCCAGGGTTACCCCTCCTCCTTTTATCAAATTGTTTCTTGTAATCCTCCTGAGCTTTTTGCATGGTCCTCTGGAGTATCTGGTAATTGGATTGTATGAGAGTTAACCTATCCTGGACTGCAGGCACTGATGCTTCTGGAATGGCATCCGGAACGAAGGAAGGGTGAAAACCGTAATTTGCCCAGAAAGGAGACTGGTTGATGGAAGCATGGACAGAGTTGTTGTAGGCAAATTCTGCACAGGGAAGAAGAGATGCCCAGTTATCCTGAGAGAAGGTGGAGAAGCATCTTAGGTATTGCTCCAAAGTTTGGTTAGTCCTCTCCGTTTGCCCATTACTCTGTGGATGATAAGCAGAAGAGAGACATACTTCGATATTCAGGGTTTTGCACAAAGATCTCCAAAATTTGGACGTAAAATGTACCCCCCACTCAGAAACTATATTGTTGGGTATCCCGTGTAGTCTTACTATCTCCTTAATAAATGTTTGAGCAGTTTCAGTAGCGGAAGGAGTACCCACCATGGGCAGGAAGTGAGTCATTTTGGACAGTCTATCCACTACCACCAGGATGGTGGTGAATCCCTCAGAGGGAGGTAAGTCCACAATAAAGTCCGTAGAAATCATCTTCCAAGGCTGTTCGGGAACTGGCAGGGGTCTCAGCAAGCCCCAGGCTCTGGTATGGCTGCCCTTATTGCGTAGACATGTTGTGCAGGAGATAACATACTCTTTACAGTCCTGTCTCAGGTTGGGCCACCAAAAGGATCTTTGGACAAGTTCAGTGGTTTTCCGTACCCCGAAGTGACCTGAAAGCAAGTGGTCGTGGCATATCTTAAATATTTGTGGCCTGACTTCTTGGGGAATGAAGATCTTGTCCTCATGCCACAAGAAATCCTCATGCTTCCTTAAGGATAACCTCTCAGACCCGGCATATGAAAGTGAAGTTTGTTTAATTGCTGCTTTTAGATCGGGCTGAATGAGTAGGAAATTATGTGGAGATAAAATAGTACTGGGAGCAGCTGTTTGAGGAGTGTCTGGGAACATACGGGACAGGGCATCTGCTTTCCCGTTTTTAGACCCAGGATGGTATGTTAGATGAAAATTGAACCTTGAAAAGAATAAGGCCCATCGAGCTTGTCTTGGTCTTAACCGTTTTGAGGTTTGAAGATATTCCAAGTTCTTATGATTGGTAAAAACCATGATAGGGTGAGCAGCGCCGTCCAAGAGGTAGTGCTACTCTTCTAATGTAGATTTAATGGGCAGTAATTCGCGGTCCCCCTCGTCATAATTTTTCTCCTGTTGATTCATCTCTCGTGAGAAAAAGGCCACTGGGTGCAAGAGAGCCTTGGACCCCTGATGTTGTGAAAGGATTGCTCCTGTGGCATCGACCTCAAGGACATAGGGCACAGTCAGTTTGGGGTGCTGTAGCACCGGAGCAGAGATAAATAGAGTCTTCAGCTTGTCAAAGGCCCCTTGGGCTTCCGGAGACCACTGGAATCGGGTATGTATCCAAGTTAATTGGGTAATGGGAACAATGATAGAGGAAAAGTTCTTGATAAATCTCCTGTAAAAATTGGCAAAGCCCACAAATCTTTGGATATCTTTCTTATCGGTGGGGGCCGGCCAGTTGGTGATGGCAGCTACCTTTTGGGGTCCATAGAAATCCCATCGGTGGAAATGATCAAGCTCAGGAATTGGATTGATAGTTTTTCAAATTCACATTTCTCCGCCTTTGCATATAATCCATGCTGTCTTAGGGTAGCTACGACATTTTTGACATGCACTTGGTGGAGTTCCAGGGTGGCAGAAAAGATAAGGATATCCTCAAGGTAGACTATCAAAAAGTGATCCAAGAATTCCCGGGAAAATGTCGTTCACGAGGTGTTGAAAGGTTGCAGGAGCGTTACACAACCTGAAGGGCATAACCAGGTACTCGAAGTGCCCGAAGCTGGTTCTAAAAGCTGTCTTCCATTCATCTCCTTTGCAGATTCTGACTAGGTTACAGGCGCCCCGGAGATCCAGTTTTGTAAATATTCGGGCATCACAGAATCTTTGGAAGAGCTCCGGGACCAGAGGGAGCCGATAATGATTTTTAATGGTTACTTTATTTAGTTTCCGGTAATCCACACAAGGCCTGAGTGAGTGATCCTTTTTCTCCACGAAGAAGATTCCAGCACTAGCAGGAGAAGAGAGGCGAATGAACCCCTTCTTAAGACTCTCGTTAATGTACACTCTTAGAGCCTCCAGCTCAACTTCGGATAACGGAAAAATTCACCCAAAGGGAATCTCTGCCCCGGGAAGGAGTTTAATAGGATAGTCATATGGCTGGTGAGGTGGTAGCGTGTTGGCCTTCCATTTTTCAAAAACATCTAAGTATTCATGGTAGGTTGGGGGCACAATTTGACTGGTGTCTGGCACCGTTTGAATGGTCAGGCAACTGGAAGAGTCTGTGAGTTCAGGGGGAAAGCAATGTTGTAGACAGTAGATGGAGGAGAAGGAAATCTTTCCTGTAGGCCAGTCCACATGAGAGTTATGGGCCTGAAGCCACAGTATTCCCAGGATGATCGGGAACATGGGGGAGCACAAGATGTCAAAGCAGATAAATTCTTGATGGCCTGAGTCTGTGGATATCAAAATAGGAATGTTTTCCTGTGTTACAGAATCAGATCGAGGAAAAATACCATTGGCTAAATGGACTGCAAGTTTTTGTTTTTTGTCTCTCAGTGGAACCTGCAACCTCTTTGCTAGGGTGATGTCCAAAAAACAGTTGCACGCCCCGGAGTCAATGATTGCTTGGAGCTTGACTTCCCTTCCCGCCACCTGCAACAGGATAGGTAGAACAAGGTGAGCTGGTAATAATCCGGAAATCTGAGAGTAAATAGCCTGTGGAGGGGTAGACTTACTAGGTCTCACAGGACAATTTCGTAAGAAATGTCTGGCAGCTCCACAGTAGAGGCATAGGTTGGACTGTCTCCCATGTGTCTTTTTATCTGGGGACAAGGAGGAGCGAACTAGGCCAATCTGCATAGGTTCAGTTTCGGCAACAGGAGCAGGTGGCACAGTGGGCAGAGGAGCAGAGAAGGAAGGCACCTTGGGTAGCATCCAGGAGGGACGGTAGGAATTAGATCTTTTGGATCACCGTTCCCACAGGCGACGGTCTAGCTGGATGGCCAACTGGATGAGGCCTTCAAGGGAGGTAGGAGCCTCGACTCTGGCTAATTCGTCTTTGAGTCCTTCAGAGAGACCAAGCCGATACTGGTATCTGAGAGCGGCTTCATTCCAGCCTGTGTCTGCTGACCATTTACGGAATTCAACCGTATAATCTTCCACGGGTCGGCGACCTTGTTGGAGGGAGTGAAGAGCAGCTTCTGCAGGGCCTTCTTGAACAGAAGCAGAGGATGCAGAGGGTGCCCTGGGTGGGTTTTGGTCAGCAGGAGCTGAAGGAGTGGCAAGATTCTGCAGGCAACCTTCTAATTGGAAATAGCCTTCTTGTAGGTTCTTGACCGCTTGTGTGAGGGCGACAACCTGCTGGCATAGAGCCTCTATCGGGGAGACACCTCTCTCAGCCTCTGATATTATGGCTGGATTATGCTGT